GCCTCTCCCTCCTTCCGTCTCCGGTGGGCGGGCCCGTTGAGCGACGTCCGGGCGGCGACCCCTCGGCCTTCTGCAGGGCTTTCCCACCACGTGGGTGCCCCCGTGGGGCGGGTGCAGCCTGAAGGGCTCTCGATCCTGCTGCGGGAAGCCGGCCGCAGTGTGGTTCCGCGGGTGCCGCCAGGAGGGAAACCAGGAGCTCGCTCCCCACGCTCGGCAGCGATTCTCTGAGCTCACCCGGCCACGTCCTGTTCCTCGGCGCTCGAGTCTTCAGGTCGCATCTCACCCGCTCGGAGTCTGTTCTAGGGCGATAGCCGCTCCCCTGAAAATAGCTGCAACCTCCACCCCTGCCCTCTTTGCACTGGCCTGGCGGAACCCCACCGTTGGATTACACCCAACCTGCCCCAAGCAGTTGGAGTCTAGCCCGGAGAAATCTTTCGCTTTTTTCATGATGAGCTGCAAATCTAGACTTTTATATGCAGTGACCCTGTTTTGAAATTTTAATGAAATGTTGGCTAAATACTGTGCTGGGCATAGGATGGGTCAGGGCAGAGGCTGCAGACTTCCTTGCACGGCCTCTGCTTTGGGGCCCCCCGCGTGCGCACTGCCGGGACGCCGTAGGCGCCCGCGGGGCTGCGCGAGGGAGGCCCGCTCTCGGCTTCCCGGTCCCGCCCCGCCTCACGCGCTTCGCGGGAGCGAACCGCGCACCCTGGCCGGTGCTCACACGTGCCAGGCGCTTGCCTCACGGCTCTGCACTCACTGCCGCCTCCGCCTGGAGAGCCCCGGCCCCTCCTCTGACTCTCCGCCCACCGCCTCAGGCCGGCTCCTAACCTCTCCGTTTAAGAATCAAAGCCACAGTCTCAAGCAGGCCCTCACTGTATACAACATAAAAGCTGGTTTGTAGTTTTGCAGACTGGCAGGCAGGCTTTCTTTTCGTTCCCTTCCTTCCCCGGTGTTTGCAGGTCAGGACTGTGTCTCCTTACTATCTGTGTCTGTGTCTGTGCCTGAAGAGCCAGTGCCAAGCGGAGCTCCTGGTACCCAGGAGAATCTATTAAATATTAGCCGAGTGAGAGGCATCAGTTCTCTCCGCGGCAAAATCTCTCCCTATCCTTCCCTCTCCTCTCTGTTCTCCCTTCCGCTTCCTTCCATCTTCTTCCAGGCCAACTAGTCCTACACTTTTAGGGAGAGCAGAGCTAGGAACCAGAATTCATACCAAGGATTAAAGCGTACAAGTCAAGAAACTACACAGCAAAATACAAAACACCCCATGTATGTACTTTTATTTATAACTCTTTGCTTCTCCTGTATGTTTTAGATAAAACAATGTCTATAAAACTGTGTTGATGGGCATATAATGCATAAAGATATAATTTGTATGACAAGAATAGCACAAAGGAGGGTTGAGGGAACAGAATTATATTGGAGCAAAGCTTTTGTATACAATTCAAATTGATAAGTGCACTTATGTATAAAGTATACCTTGATTGACTGACTTTTTTAATAGGTGGAGGGAAGCCTTTGGATAGTATGACACTTGTAGAAAGAACGAACCCTGGGACCTCCAGTGAGTCATCAGGCACGGATGGGGAATTGCAGTAGACTAGGTCTCATGTCTAGAATGGAGTTGGGGCTGCATTCTACGTTAGAACACAGCTCTACTGAGTTTAGCCACCAACTGTCCCCGTCCTCAGCAGCAGCAGTTCCTTTACTCCTGCAAATATTATTAACCTATCTCCAACTCCACGTCTGCCTCGCTGTGAGTTTCTTATTCTTCCACTGCTAACACAATGTATCTCACACTTTGCATGATTTCCTAAAAAACTATGATTGGTCCAGGCATTACCATCCATATCAAGCTTGGTTTTCATGCCAAGAAACCTAATGGACTGGTAGCTGACCTATAAATTGGCCATGCTTCAGTCAGGGACAATCAGCTGGAGTCAGTGTGACAAGGTTAAGTGCTCAAAATGGCCACTGAAGCTGAAAGATAAAGCTAGAGTCGCTTGGCCAAGTGCCTGAAGAGCCAGGGCCAAGCGGAGCTCACAGCATGGCATTCGCCCTCAGAAGGGGATGTGGTAAGCATGTGGAAGAAAACCGCCTCTCCAGAGCACTCTCCTGAACAGTTACTCTTTGCCTCCTCTGTCTTTCATTGCCCTTTCTTCGCTGAGTAAAATATGAACCTCTAAAGGAGAAAGACATGCCAGGAAATTTTTACTGCAGAAAAGATAATAAATTTGTTGAATCAAAGTAAGAATCCAAGTCTGTAAGAGACTCACCAATATATTAAGGATAATGTATAGATAACGCCTGTAATACAGCTTGTAATCTTTATATCACTAAGTTCAGAATTAAAAGTCTCACAGGACTGTCCTATTTGTAGTACATTGCTCTGCCATCCTACTCTCTCATGCAATACGCCTAATTTAGAAGGCTGGATGGTAAAACTGAAATGTTTGCCTCCCGAGGTTATCACTAGCTAGTCTTAGCACATTAAACTTAACATGAACAGTTTACTTTTCACTTTGAAAGTAAGAATAGGCTTTAATATTTACATTTTATAATAGTGACTGATTAACTGCAACTAGCTAGGGTACTAAATTTTAGACTTGTGATAATTCCCTAAGAATTATGCAATACCTTATTAATTTTGTAGTGTTTTTTAAACATCATTCTTCACACAAAATGGTTATAAAAAGTTATGTCTGCATTGACAATAAAGAACTATTGAATGTAGCAACCGTTTTCTCAGTGCTCCAAGGCTTAATATAAACTATGCCAATTAATACTGCTGATATCTTAATATATTTGTAGTTATAACTTGGCAATTTTTTTTAAAGCTGAACTATGATCAGTCATAGACTTTTCATTTTACTACATAGAACTTTTCTTCTACAAAATATCCACTGCATACCCCCCCCCTAAAAAACGAAAACCTCCTTAAAAGCAATCTTTATAATCCAACAGTCACATGACGTTTCTATTCACTTAAGGAAGAGGGCATGAGTCCTGTACATGAATGATCCTGCCCTGATACAGGACCTGCCTCCACCAAAACAGAATTCCGGGAAGGAATATCAGCTCTCCATGCCCGTCCTACCTTGCTAACAATTTAGAGAGGTAAAATGAAGACTCTGCTAGAAGTTTTGACAGGTACAACATGGAAAGGCTCTCAACCTCAAACTGAATAATGATAACATTAAAATTTGGCACAGTCAAATCAGACAGGGTTTAAGCTAAAGTGGAAGAGAACAGTCTACAATGGACATTTTAAACCTTCTAATAGAAGATAAAATAATTATGCCTTGCTGTCTACCAAAGATACTGGTTAAAAAAATCTATCAGTAGTTACAATGCACTATTATGACCTTCCCTTCTGCAACTAAAATGGCTATTAAACATATTAACCTAGTTATAATAAAATTATTTTTAAAGTTTACTTTCTCTAATATTAAGGTAAAAAACACTGTAGAGGGGAATCTGTGTAGACTGTTCCAAACAAGTTGGTTCTTTATTTTTGTAGGTTCTGTGTTACAGTTTTCCTCATTCTTTCAGCTACATGAAAGAACATGATGCCCCAAGTACAAAAACAAGTCTGGTCTTGTGTAATATTAAATACTGATCTGCACCAGCGAATATAAAATGTACTTTTCTGGGTTTCTGTTAACAAGGCAAAATAGAAATTTTTCATAAGAAAAAAAGATTAAAAAGAAAGAAAAAGAAAAAAGGATTCCGTGGCTAAGATACATCTTTTGTGGGATAAAATTCACCGTTATGTCCCTTTTCTACCAGTAATGTTTTATTTGCCCTAAGCCCCCTTTACAGTTCAGGTTCAGTATCACAGACGCAGAAATTTTCATTTTCATCATAGATTTTTCTTTTAACATTTTTTCAGGATGCTTTAAACATTAGCGTCACAACTATTATTTCAAATTTACGTTTACAATTCACAGTACAGCCCACATTCAGTAAGGCCATGACTTTACACTTTTTTGGGTCACAGTCCATTAAAATTTTAACAAGAGCTCCATCCAGAAAAACAAAAAATTACATATCCAGTTTTGCAAGTAATTCAGGAGTTTCAAGTCCCCACTGACACCTGTTTAAAATAAAAGCCCTTGTAATAAAGGAATAAAATAATAGGTTTAGATTGCAGGTTTAAATTTCAAAGGTTTAATATATTTAAAAAAAGAAAAATCTATTTTAGATGTTGAACAAATTTTTTTATGATTGACCAAGCAGTTAAAATATTTATAAAGGAGGAAGTTTTTAGTTTTAGTCTTAGCTAATCTTATAAGAATTTTTCAGACTCATATTAGATGCATACAGGTTGCAACCAATATGTAAATGGAGATACTGACATAAAGAGATATGTTTATATCCCATATTAGCCAGTAAATATATACATTAACCAGAGGAGTGAATGTTCATCCTTGAGGGTAGATCAACCAGTAAAGAAAAATACACACAAAAATAGGTAGTATTTTCTAGTACTACTGATTTACAATTAACAGACCCTCTGATTTAGGTAGATTATTTGTTAAAATGCCATCAGTAATCAATGCATGCTACATAGTTGCACAAAGCTAATAATAAGTAATTCTGGACATGCACTACAAGCATGTATCCAAATAAACATGACTACAATTTAAAATAACTGTTCATTTCTAGAACAAATGCAATTACTGGCTTCCACCTCATAATTAAAGGCTTAAAATATATTTTAAACCTACAATCATTAAAGATTTGTAGACTTAAAAGTATGTTTGAAAGTATGTATAATTTGTAGTAACATGAATAAGAAAGAAATAAAATTTTGGAAATGTGATCTCCCTACTCCAAAAACTAAATATCAAAATACATTTCACGTATGAGAGTGGTTTTTCTTTATTCAAGTAAACATTTTGATTATAATACATGATATGCACAACCCGTGTGACAAAGTGCTGGAGCCTACCATTTGGTGTAGCCTCCCTGTCTCTAGGATGATTCCAGGTGACTCCTCAGAATCTGACATCAGTGCCCAGCACCGCTTTCCATGGCCATGAACGTGCTCTGGAGGCCGCCTCCTCCATCTACCTTTCTTCAGATGCCCAGTGCCACTCTCTCCCACCCAGTATACCCTCCATTACGTATAAAAAGCCCACTCTAAAACTCAACCTATGTTATAAAGTTAACAAAACCAGGAGTTGGTGTATATTTTCCACAAAAACAAAATTATTAAGTAAGACTCTACTTAATCTCTTTTCTCTAACTTTTGAAGGATTTATATAATCTTTAAAAAGTGATAGTAGTACATAACACAAAATATGCCAAGGACCTTATTACCGACTGTACATAATATGTCGGAAGTTGCTAAAGTACTGAAAAGCTTAACTCTCTGGGAATACCAATTCTCTACTGGAAACTACAGTTTACAAACAGAAGATTGTGTTTTAATAAGTGGAAATACAGTACCTGATCTGATATAAAATAATTGTGAGATCTTTTCTCACTAGTAAAGTGCTTAATTAATAAACATTCTTCCACCTCATGATTTAATTTGTCAAAGGCACAAAATGTCTTTGTCTCTCTCCTTAAAACTTTTTTTTTTAATTCTAGTATAACTCACTTAAATTTTACTTAATCTGAAAGACTTACTGTTCTTTTTTTAATTCTCAGTAATTAAAAAAAACCTACTCGAAGAAAAACATTTAATTTTTATTTTCAAAACTTTGCCACCAACATGTATACAACACTAAATTTGATCCACTCATGAGATTTCTGTGTGCCATGTAGCACTTATGACAAAAAACATAAGCATGCTTTAGGGTAAAAGTTAACAAGGAATCAAAATATCTTCCAAAAAGGGTGGACAGAGAATCAATAACTTAAAAATCATAGCTTTTTATTATATAAAAAATAGTTTGAATAATCTTCTTATAAATCTTTAATGCCTACAAAAGCAGGAACTACTTTAAAATCGTCTTTTTAACACAGATTCATTAGTACAATGTGGTTGTGGTCAGAAAAATAACAACTAAAATGGCATTTCAGTCAGTAGTCTAAATTTTCTTCTCAGGAAATTCCACATAGAATTTAACAATTTGAAATTCAAAATAAGATTTAACTTTCAACAGGTCAGGGGTGTTATAATTAGTACCTGAATATCAAGCTCTTTTCCATTTAATATATTTTACCAAAATTTAAATACAGCTCAAGGATAGGAACTGATAACAATACTTGACTGCATGGTTACCACCCATGGCTACTGTAGTGCTGCTTAAAAGATACTTTGGTCAGTAAATTAAAAAGATATAAATCAAATAACAAGGCCAGGAAAGCTGTTTTAGAACAGATTTCCTGACCTTAAGTAAACTGTAAATACATTAACAAGGCAAGGACTATATAATCATGTATATAGAGAGGTCTCCATTTTTTAGCCATTTGGCATTTTATAGTAATAATTTCCTTGTTTAAAATGATATTTTATACTCCTGTGCACTGATTAGCATAATTCTCTGAATTAAAACTAAACTATAGTTACCTTTTTAGAATGTCCAGTAGTAAATGCATTAATTGTTCCTTTTGCACTTCCATGAAGACAGTCCTTCATCTTGTAACTTTTTAAATTTTGGACCAAAAAAGAACCACCACCCAAATCCAATAAGCACACAAATAATGGACTCCACATAATAACCATCCAGTGCTGTAACACACGAGCCACCGAGTTTTTTGCAAAGCTGTAAAAATAAAACTATAATAAATATTCCATAATTTCAAAATGGAAGTATTTAGCAATTTACATGTTTCTACTTTGTAATTTAAAAGACTGATCAAAATTTATTTTTGTTACATGTTAATGTATCTTAATCTCCCTAATGCTAACAGGATTAAAAGCAATTTTCAGCTCATGCTATACACAATACTCATTTTCAAGATACAGCTTTTCATATTTGAAAAGGTGAAGAAATGTCCAATGAATCTACTCCAAAAGTAGGCTAATGTTACTTTGAAATAATCTATCAACAAACTATTAACCACTTGGTTTTATCTACAATTGTTAAATGAATAGCCAATGAAATTTCCTTTTTACTATCAGTATAAGACTTATTAACTATTAATAAGTATTAATTTAATTTATTAACAAGTATTAATTTATTAAGTATCTATTGTGTAGGACAGCGATCCTCAGGTGGAGGAGAGAGCAGACTGCCCCTCCCTTGCTGAGAAGCACCCTCAAGTAAGCTACTCTTACTGATTTCAGTGCATTAAAACCCTTAGTTATGACGGGAAAGAAAAAAAATATGTAGATTTCTACATGAGAAACAATGGGCAGATATGATTTTTAAAATATAGTACTTCTAGAGGCAAAATAACAAAATTAATATCTTAATATTAGTTTAATGTTTTTTAAAATTACAACATACTTACCTCAATATTATCTGGTGTTTGACAATTCTGATTTGATGCTCCTATACACTCTTTCATAGTGAGGGGATCTACTAGCCAAAGGGCTACTGTAGAAGGCCAGTTTCCTCCCAGGTTGGACACAGTATTTAAAAGGGTCATATATGTTCCTCCAATAAGTGGATCACTAACCCTTGCATTAAAAGCCATTATGGAAACATACATGCTGTACAATGTAACCTACAAGGAAAATGTAAAACATCTTTAGTATGATTAGACTTTATAAAGCTATAGTCTGAATTAAGAAAATAAAAATTATAAACTTGAAAATTAATTTTCATGACCCTTATTAAACTCAAGTCAACAAACATTTACTGAACATTTCTTATTGACCAGGCTTTAAGCCAGATCATGACACTATAAAGATGACTAAGACAGTCTCTTGTGCCCTTCAAGAATTTCTTCTAGGCTAGGAAAATAGTGAATAAATTATGATAAAATGCGGTAAGTACTGTAAACAGAAGTACACAAATCGTGCTACTGGGACCTAAATAAATGACAGCTTAAAATGACAGATGAGGTGGCTTTGAAGATGCATATATCAATAAGCAAAACCCTGTATTTGTACTGTATCTAAATATATCATATATGTGTGTGTGCATCTATTTATATGTATATATGTATTATACATTTAAGCACTCATATTAAAAGAAACATGAAATACAACTATATACTCCTTTGAATACTGTACCATGGGATGTTCCAATATCAAGAAGACTGAGAAACACAAAGTTACATAAAATTGAACAGGTCCCTTTCACTAGAGGCCTTCTGAAAGCCTTTAGGATGTAAACTCCTAAAGGGGTAGGGATTTCGGAATGATTTATTCACTGTTATATTTTAGTACTTAGAATGTGTTTTCTGGCATGAAATCGTTGCCCACTTAATATCTGTTGAAGGAATGATTAAGTTGCTACGTAAAGAGGGGTTATATCATGTATCATTTCTCAAATATACTTGGCCTTGTACCTTTTTCCCCACAAAGTATCTGGTTGTCTGATTTTCAATGAGTACACTTTGAAAAATTCTCTAGTGAAATCCAAGGTCAAACAAATGAGTTTTGGGCTACTACATCATAGTTTTCTTTTACTTACACAGATAGTGAAGCATTTGCTAAGCTAAAGCACTTCTTTTAACTTTTGTGCCTAGCATTAATTATGTGGAAAACAAAAGAAAATTATACTTGACACCCTGGCCTCAATGATTTACATAGTTAGTCAGACATGGTCCACTATGGAGTTCTCCTAAATGATACAATTGCATGCAAAAACATTACTAAGATTACCTGGTAGCCATATTTTTAGGTTTCAGTTAAAAACAAAGTGAGGAGTTGGTAAATATAACTTTCAAAATGCTTAAGCTAGGTTCCACTGAAAAATCCAAAGTGACTCTAAAATACACATTAGCAATAACTGCAGTTGAGTCCCAAAGGATATTGCTGGGCATTTGCCATTTACTTGAATCACTTGCCCCCAGAACAAAACCGCATTCTGCAATGGTAGCTTAGGTGAGGTTAGGGCAAAGTGGGGATCACTTTTTTTAGGTATTACAAACATATTTAATAAAGAAAGAAAAAGCAGATTGACACACAGCTTCCAAAACCACAAAGAGTAAGTTATAACTTTCAATACAGAATCTAAACCAAAAACCTGGAACCTTTAACCCAGTAGCTATCATTATTTATTAATACTTTCAAAAAGAAAAAAATATTGGGACTAGAAGAAAGAATGAATCCAAATCTAGGGATGGACTGAGAAATACTTAGCAAGGGTAGAATTACTACCTTTGGAATAAATTCTGAAATATAAAAAATACTTGTCAAATGAACAAAAGAATGAAACGAATGAAGAATAAATTCTCTTTCCATGGATAAACCTCATTAAATCAAAAGTTGCAAGGGCTAAAGTACACAGTCAAATAACTTCATTGTCAGATCTGTGCTTAAGTCTTAAAATTTATCATTATTTTAAGGCAACTGTAGAAAAATGTCGTCTTTATTTTACCAAGAACAGTTTACTTCCAGAGAAAACCACAACAAGCTTACCTGGTGTAACGCATAACTCAGCAGCAGTATGATATAGTAATATACAGGGAATCCCCCTTGATGTTCTACTTTAGGAGTCCACCAAACCAGCAAAGAGAACTCTAACCCAAGCAATAATCTATAAGAAAGAAAAAAAAGAAACATGGAGCTGACTTCCATTTTAGGTTAAAAAAACAACTAGAAAAGATATTTGTGTCTACCACGGGGAAAAAGCCTGAATCTAAGCCTATTAGGAGGTTAAAAAGAGGTAGCAGTGTATATAAATGATATTAAAGTCAAAGATGCTTTTCAAGCCTTTTCCCATATATATTCTACAGATGTTAGTGATACTAATGAATGTTCCTCACTTAACCTTTCTTATTTACAAAGGTTTTATTTTGTTTTTACCTGTAGGGCATGGCTTTGTAAAATACGTTTAGTGGCTGGGGACCTGAAGTGTATTTGCTGATGATCAGGGGCAATATGATCTGCAAAGGAACCATTGGAACTGCCAATAAGGCTAAATGTTCTTTGGGTACTCCCTCTTCTACCAATTTCAGTCCTGTTACTGCATCTGCTGCTGAAAAACCAATCTGTAATATAAAAACAAAAAATATTTTAATTTATGATTTATGAAATATTTTCTTCCAAGCATAAGTTCTTCAATAACCTCAATCTCATGATTAACCCATGCCAGTTACAAGTTTATTATTACATCTGGTACAACAATCAAGTTAGAGAAGGTACACTTTGCCCTATGGTCTACTGACAATATTCAGTGAAAACAACTAAAACTTCAGCACTCTTAGGAACTATAGGTGGCTCTAATTACAACTAAATTTCCACTTCAAAGTTCAATCTCTTAAAATAAAGTGTCCAAATCCAAACTTACTGATTTATGTATTTTAAGTTTAAAAGTCTTTGACTCCAAATAAATCTGGTTAAAATGGAGCATCACTGCTCCTATAACTGATTTTAGATTTTAGAAATATTAATTCCAACAGTAGCAACAGCTCACTAAAACTACACTCACCTTTCTTCTAGTGTAATGTCTTTAAAATGTTTTAGAGCTATAAAATTAGGACGTCTTAATACAGAAAACATAAAGGATAAAATAAAAATCACCAAAATCCCCATTTCTTTTACATTTCCTTCTAACATGAAAAAATATTCAACTGAGTTTTAAATAAACTTCTAATACTCATACATTTCTATATCTTTATAAATCACATTCTAAGTAAATAATTTTATTATCTCTCACATTAAATGTATACTCATTATAACAGTAGAGACCTATTATTTTTTTTTTCAAGGCATTCACTTGTATACCAAGCAATAATGGCACTCATTAAACAAAATTTCACATTTATTAGACATACTTCAAATTGGCATAATTCTTTCCAAGATCCCAAGACATTCAGAAATTATATTTGATATCATCACACCTTTTAAAACACATTTAATAAACAGAAAATTGTTTTTTATTGTTAAATTCTAATAGTAGTGGAAAGGAACCTATGATATGAAAAGACAACAAAAGTGCTTCATCATATTGGTAATTATAACAGAATGGTAAATTAGCTTTATAAATCTCTTACCTTTGCAGTTAGAACCAGAAGGCAAAATGTCAGTACTGCTGGCATTTTTATAATTGCAAAAAGCAGCTTGTAAGTATCTGTGATCCCTTGGGTTTCTTCTTTTCCTACTGATACCTCTTTGTTTTCTTTTTTCAGAACAGCAACTAAAGTTGTTGTTATCAAAAATACAGTTCCCCAGAAAAAAAGGAAATCTGAAATTTAAAATGTTGAAATCTATAATTAACTTTTGAAATGACATAACTTCATTGACTTTATATAATTCTGTATACAACTTTTCCTCAACAAAAATCTGTTTTTAAAAAACTGACACAATGTGCCTATCATGTTCAAGTACCATAAGCACCAGGCATTGCCAACGAACTAGACAGTCCTGGCTCTGTTAAACAACATTGTATAGAACCAAAATAGACAGTGAT